TTAAAAAAGAAAACAATACCGATATATATTTCTTATATTTATTAATCACAAAATAATAACGTTTTTGTCTTATCTTATTACTTTATTAGTAATATGTACAAAATACTATAAAAAACATTCTTTAGTCGTAGAATACCGGTAGCTATAATTAAGCATCTTCGATATAAGTTTGTAAAGTTTTTCTTTAGTGAAAATGCTCGAAACCTATTGTGAGAGCTTTTTAAAAAAAATCTTCATATTGTAAATTACAAGCTCTTGTAGAGATAATAACCAAATTATATAAGAAATAATAAAATGTTATAAAAGCTAATTTATAAGTTTCATAATAACCTGTTGAAGTTTAACATTAGTAATGATTTGACACCAAAAAACTTTTGATTTTTTTTATATTATGGTGATGATTTAAAAAAAAAAAAAAATTAAAACCAATCTGATTAAGATTAGGAAACTAAAAAAAATCAAATATCAAATTAACTCTATAAAAAAACAAATAGCTAATCTAATTCACTAAGGATGACAATGTCATTTAGTAATAAAAAATGGAATTTAAATTCCTCTCTCACATAAATGATAAAATCCATCACATATGGATTTTGGAAAAATCTAAATCGATAACTAAACATCTCTATTCTCCTCAAGGACAGATGTCTGATTTTATAATTGAGGTAGCAAGAGAAATATAAGTAGTGACACGATAGTAGAAAAAGAAATCAAATTTTTTTGCATCGCATATGGAAATATCAGACGTTACGTTACCAATACGGGTACCATAACAAAACCATCTCCTCATAAATCTTCATTTTTTTGTCTTAAAATAAAACTTAAACCCTTAGCTAGCTTTTGGTCAAACTTGGATTCCACCATTATTCGGTGATTAGCAAACGTAATTAAAGAGGCGGGTATTATTTAAACAAGGTTTCTTAATCTACTAATTAAACTCTATACAAAAGTATATATTTAAGCAAGTTGAACGTGGAACGTGACAGAAACTTTCTTACGTACGTAAAGGAAGTGAAATATTCAATATGTTTAAAGGAATGTTCATTCGCAAGCATGTGATAACGCCTCTATATAAGCTTCCATCCTTTCTTTCTAAATTTCATATCACAAACACAAAGAAATACACCAATATATCTCACACGTTTCTTTACAAAAATGGCTCAAATACTTTTTTCTTCCTTGATTTTCTCTCTCACAATCTTTATTGGGTTTTTTGGGACGATAGAATCTCGTTCTTCTGCAAGGATGTATCTTCAGCAACAGTGTCGAACAGCAATATATCATGATCTATGCGTTCAAACTCTTTTACCATATACAGTGAAAACCGTACCAGGCCCACAACAATTAGCTAAGATTTCATTAGCAGTGTGCCTGTCGAAAGCTAGGCAGACGAAGGAGTACGTGGATATGGTGGCAAAACAATTCAACAAAACGAAGAATTATAAAGATAGCCAAGGTGTGCAAGAGTGTTCACGACAAATCAACAATGGAGTTAATCAAATAACGCTATCAGTGAAGGAGTTCCAACGAATTGAAAAGGATGCTGAGGAAAATTTCCCACTTCATGAGGATAACATGCAAAGTTGGGTTAGTGCTGCTCTAACGGATATTGATATGTGCATTGATGGAATACTTGGGGATGTGATCGGGGGGAGGGAGAAGGCGATTATGAAGGCAAAGATCTTGAACGTGAAGCAACTCGCTAGTAATTCGCTTGCGATGTTGAACCGGTATACTTTAAGACACCGTGCCTCTCATATCGTCAAGAATCCCTAAATTTGATCAATGCGCGCGCATAT